TTTTTCGAGACAGGGTTTCCCTGTGTAGCTTTGCGCCTTTCCTGGAACTCACTCTGTAGCCCAGGCTGGTCTCGAACTCACAGAGATCCGCCTGCCTCTGCCTCCCGAGTGCTGGGACTAAAGGCGTGCGCCACCATCGCCCCTGCCAGACTTTCTTTAACAATCCAAAATGGGAGTGGTAAAAGAGGATGTCAACTGAGTGCTAATGACCGGTTAGTATATCAAAAGGGGATCTGCATGCTCAGTTCACATTCCTAGAAGTGGTTAGGTAGGAAGTTAGGGGTCTATTAGTAAGGTTGTATAGGAAAGGAGGGTCCAAGCTGAACTGTGTAAAGCTATTATTTAACGTCCACCTGACCTAGGCGGTTTGGGCTGTAATCACTGTTAGTTCTTGAAAGTGGCTAAGGGAGCTATCTGATTCCAGAGAAAGCCGCTCCTGAGGCTGTTCTCCAAATGCCTGGAATGTGTATGTCCAGAGAGTGATCAGTCCACACTGTCAGTCCTTCTTAGGGAAAAGTCAATTCGGAAAACTATGAAGGCACACATGATTTTCATAACAGAATACAGTTGATATATAACAAGCCAAGTAACACCAAAAACTCCTTGGAATTTGGCTTCCTCTGGAGGAATTCCCTGATCCCTCCAGGTAGTGATTTTGCCATAACCAGCTGAGTTCCTATGATATATTCCTGCAGCCCGCAGCAGGTAGCCCAGGCTGGCCTAAAACTTACTATGTAGCCAAAGATGACCTTGAACTCCTGATCCTCCTGCCTCACCCCAGGGTGCTGAGGAACAGGCATGCACCACTCAGCTGGCCACTCTGCTCCTCTGGGTGGCCTCAGGTATCACACAGCTTTCCTCTAATGCCAGTCCAGGTGCCCAAACAGAACCCCAGCCAGCATGAGACCCTGGTGCTCCTCCAGGCTGACAGATTTCCCGAACACTCCTTGTCACTTGTGGCCTTCCCGGAGGCTTTCCAGGTACTGCCTCTGATCTCAGTCAGCTTTCCCTCACTACAGTAGGTCTATCTGTTCTGTGGTCCCAGAGAGAAACCACAGGAACTCGGGTTCAGGGTACACTTCAGTGGAGCGTTTGTCTACTATACACAGAGCCTAGGATTCTTCCTCGGGACCCCAAAGTGAAGGAAGGAACAAAATGGTACAGGGTCCTGAAGGCCACATTCTGGAACCCAGGTCTGCGCAGGCCATGTAAGGTGCCTGGGAGGTCCTCCTACCTCTCCCAGGTTGGGAGGGGCTGCTCTTTAATCTTTTCCCTTTCCATGAAGTTACAGGCACATGAATACAAGTGCCTTCAGACATCAGAGCCTTCGGAACCCCAGGAACTAGAGCTAGAAGCTGTTTCCAGGCACAAAGGTGGCCCCTGGGAAGTGAGCCCACCGGTGCTCGGCAAGAGCACATGTACTCTTAAGCGCTGAGCTATCTTTCCGATCTCCTTCACTTTTTCAGTGCTGGACAATGAACCAGGGTAGGCAGGTGTGCTGCAACCCCAGCCCCTCCTTGGAGTCCAGGGAGACAGCTGGCCACTCCTGAGCAACACCCCCAGACCTCAATGTACCTGTTTTTCCTTTTTGATCATTCTTTTTGCTGCTGCTGCTTCTTTTTTTTTTTTTTTTTTTTAGGCAGACTCTCACTAAGTAGCCCTGGCTGTTCTGGAACTTGATGTTGACTTTGGATTCAGAGAGATCCACCTGCCTCTGCTTCCCAAGTGCTGGGACTAAAGGGGAGCACCACCACACCCGGCTCTTTTTACTTTTTCTGACAGAATCTCCTAGGTTGCCAGAGTAGATCTGGAATTTGCAGTCCTCTTGCCTCAGGCAAGAGGTAGCTGAGCTCATGGCCTGCATCACCACACATACTGCTTTCCTACCTTATATTGTCAGCCAACCCTAAGCTACATTGTTGGTGGGTGGGAGTCAGGCCCAGGGATATCCCCTCCCCAAGCAACAGTGGACTCCAGTCTCTGTCAAACCATGAGGGACTGTTACAAGCACAATATGGAGTCACCACACCCCAGCAGCCCCAGATGAGGTTATCTGAGTCTGGTACGCAGGTATGGGAACTGAAGTCCAGAGAGCTCAAGATGAAGAGGCCTTTCTGATGCTATTCAACAAATCAGACCACCGACCTCAGCCACCTGCCAAGGGGCCCACTAAGAAACCCTGAAAGCCTCCACTGCCCACCCTACCACCTGCCAAGCCCCCTCAGTCTCTGCAAGCTCCATGGGAGACACAGCACCCCTCAGTCTTTCCACACAGTCAAGTCCTCTGGCCTCTGGACCACCCCCAGCACTCTGAACAGCAAGAGATCGCTTCTCTCCTTCCCCGGGGTCTGGACACCCACTTCTATGTTCCCCAAGCCAACGAACTGTCTATCATATGTACTCAGACGTGCCCAGGATGGCAGTGCATATTACTTCTCGAACGTGAAGTCCTGACCACTCCCAAGAGCTCGGCGGGGCCGTGGGGTTAGATGTCTCTGATGAGGTCTGGGGGACCAGCTCAGACAGGCTGGGAACGCAGGGCTGAAGGAAGAACCAGAGGCGCAAGAGCAAAACTAGGGGTACACAGGGAAGACAGGCAGGATTCTCGGGGAAGAACGCGGGGTGTGAAGATGGGGGGGTGAGGATGGGATGGGGGTGGGTCATGGGTAGGGATGGGATGGGGGGTCCTAGAACTGGACAAGCTGGAGTGGTGGGGGTGGCTGGTGGATCCAGGAACCAGGAAGGGCCCTGGATGGAGGGTCAGGAGCAGGGCCTGAGGACCGGGTTCAAAGGAGCAGGATTCAATACAGGAGTCTAGGGGTGCAGGTTCCCCATGTTCAGGAACTGGACTGTGATGGAGGAGTATCTGAGAACCAGGTTCAGGCGAAGTGGCAGGAATGCCAAGGTACAAAGCCTGAAGCTCCAGATTCAGGGTCTTAGGTGGCACAAGGTCTGGGTGGGGTGGAGAGTCTGAGGTACGTGGTCCTGGGTGGATTGCGGGTTCTTGGGGTGCAGGGTTCTAGGGTACAAGGTCTGGGGTGCAGAATCTAGGCATAAAGGGTGTGGGTGCAGTCCGGTGTCTGGAGATTAGGGGTGGGTTGCAGGGTCCAAGGTTTGACTGCAGGGTTTGGGGTGCAGGACCCAGGATGCAGGGTCTGGGTCGGGGTGCAGGGTCTGAGGTGCACATCCGAGGTAGGAGTTCAAGGTCTCGGTGCAGGGTTCTGGGTGTTGGTTCATAGGATGCAGGATCCAGGTGAGGTGCAGAATCCGGGAGGGGAACAGGACGGGAGGGTGCAGGGCCTGGGTAGGCTACAGGGTTTGGAGTGCAGGGTCAAGGTGGCGTGCAGGGTTTGTGATGCACGGTCTTGGGTAGGGTGCAGGGTTCCAGGGTGCTGGTTCCTGGGGTGCAGGGTCCGGGTGGGGTTCAGGGTCCAGGGGTGCAGGGTCTGGGGTTGCAGGGTCCGGGCGCGTCCCGGCGTCCCACCTGTGCGCGGGGACGCGCTGCGAGCTGAGCCCCTTGCCCACCAGGAAGTGCACGTCGCACAGCACCTCGTTGTTGAAGAGGAAGGCGAAGCGCTCCTGCACCGTGGGTTTGGTGGCCTGCCAGTTGTACACGGGCTCGCGCAGCAGCGCGCCCGGGCCCGCGTCGTCGCGCTCGTCGCCCACGGCCTGCGCGTCCGGCACGGGCCCGGGCGGCGGGGATGGAGGGGGCGGCGGCCCCGGGGCGCAGGCGGCGGCGTTGCCGGGGGCCGCAGCGGCGTTGGCGCTGGGCCCCAGGCCGCCCGCGCCAGGCCCGACCCCCGGCGGGCACGACGCGCGCCCGCTGCCGCCCGCCGCCATCTTGTCGCTGCGGCGCGGGGGCGGGGCCGCGGAGGGCGGGGCCAGCGGGGGCGGGGCCTCCGGGAGGCGGGGCCTGAGAAGAGCGAGGGGAGGAGGCGAGGGCTGGGGGGCGGGGCTCCGGGAAGGCGGGGCCTGAGAGGAGCCAGGGGAGGAGGGGGAGAGGGAGAAGCGGAAGGGCAGGCAGAGAGGAGGGAGAACGGGCGAGGCTAGGAAGGGGTGGGGCATGCAGAGGGGGCTGGGGAGGAGGGGAGGGAGGAGGGGCGTGGCACGTCTAGGTCAGACGAGGAAGAGGAGGGGCCTGAAGCCAGCCAGGGAGGAGGGAAAGGACAAGGGCGAAAGGGAATGGGGAGGGCGGGGGCGGGGGGATGGATCCCCGGGCAGAGAAGAGGAAACGGGAGGGGTTGGCTGAGAGGGTGGGGTAATACAGGGAGGAGCACAGCCAGGAGGCGGGGAGGAGGGCGAGGCTGCGGAGGTGCAGGCCCCGGATTGGAGCAAGGGCAGGGCTGGGAAGGGGGGGCAGGCGAGGCGTGCAGAGGTGAAGAAAGGCAGACAGAGCAGAGGCATGAAAAGCGGAAGGGGAAGGGGGGTGGAGGGAAGGGGGAGGGGCAGAGGTGAGAGGCAGGGGAGGGGTCTGGAGAGGAGAGATGGAGGGAGGGACGAGGTGAGTCCAGAGGGGAGGCGAGGGGGGACGGAGGGGAAAGGGAGGAAGGGGAGGGGCCTAGGGGGTAGTGCACAGGTAGAGAGGGGCTGGTGGAGGAGGGAGGAATGGTGGGGGGTAAGAAGGCAGGGAGGAGGGGGGAAGAGGTGGAGGGGCGGGGTTTGTATGAGCAAGCCAGGCGAGGGGCGGGGTTACGAGAGGGGCGGGGCCGCAGGGAAGTGGGTCCGCCCTGGAAGGTGGAAGGAAGGGGTGGAGGAAAGGGGGGGTGATGAAGAGGTGGGTGGGGAAGCTGGGGCAGCGGAGCTGAGGATGAGGAGGGCTCAGGACCCCTGCTCTGAGCCTCGATCCCACCCACACACCGGCTCCTGAGCCCCTAGACGACCCAGCTCATGCCCAGGCTGTGGGAGACGAGAGCCCAAAACTGACTGCGATCCCAGAAAGGGAGACGAGGGAAAGAAGTGGGGTGAGGTAGGAAGAAGAGCAGGGGGAGGAGGGACAGGGGAGCCGGTGTGGTGACGCGCAGAGTGGGACCTGGGAGATGGGCAGGGGCGGGGCAGCTGGACGAGTGTAAGGGGCCCGGGGGCTGCTCCAGCTGTGCCCAGAGCCTCCCAGACCCCGATTGTGAAGCCCGGGTCTATGTGAGGGCAACACTCCCCAGACTGTAAGTCCGGCTCCCATGTTCCGGTTCTCATCTCCAGACCCCAACCTCTAAACCCCAGGGCCAGTTTACCTGCCTGCCCAATGGAGTGGGCCTCACAGCCTAGAAAGGGAAACTGAGGCCGGGGAAAGCAGCTGGGGGCAGGGTAGGGGTGTACCATACACTCAAAACTGGATGGAGTTTGGTGGTGCACGCTTTAATCCCAGCACTGGAGAGGCAGAGGCAGGGGACCTCTGTGGTTCCAGGACAGTCAGGACTACATCAAAGAGACCTTGTCTGTAAAACAAAGGAGACCGGAACAAAGGTCAGTAGATGTGCATTAGCTGCCCCCAGACCTGTGGGGGCCAGTGGGGACATAAAGTGACGATTCCCCCCACAGGCACAAGCGTGGAGCACTGTGCCTCCAAGAGCAGGCTGAGGTCCAGCTTCCCGGAGGAAGGCGTGCTGGTGCATGCAGGAGCCCCTGCAGTTCCTCGGCAGGCTCAGGCGGACGGAGTTGGCATGGGCTTTGAAGGTGGGCACCCTGGTCAGTCCCTGTGTGGATCACTGTGGTGATATACTGTGTCCCCCAATATGTTGTGTACCCTAATAAACTTATCTGGGGATCAGAAACAGCCAGCCACTAGATTAGACATAGAGGACAGACAGTGGTGGCACACACACCCTTAATCCTATCACTGGGAGGCAGAGAGCCATCTGGATCTCTGTGAGTTCAAGGCCACCCTGGAGACAGAGCCAGGCAGTGGTGGCACACACCTTTAATCCCAGCACTTGAGGTCTCCTGCCTTTGCTTGGGAAGCACACACGCCTTTAATCCCAGGGAGGGATGGCGGGAAGCAGAAAGGCACGTAAGGCGTGAGGACCGGGACTGGAGGCTTTTTAGGCAGTTCAGCGACACGCTTTTGGTTTTCAGTCTGAGAAAGCAGGAGCTCACTCCCTCGGGTCGAGGATTTCCCAGCGGTAAGAACTTGTGGCTGTGGCTAGTTTACCCCTCTGATTTCTCAGCTTGCGCCCCAATATCTGGCTCTGGGTTTCTAGTTATAAGACTACTCAGCAGTTCGTCTTACGGATCACCCCCATTGTCTCTGCCTGGGTCTGTCTACTTGCCGTGGCCAGTAACAGCCGCGGGGGTGGCCCCTGGAAGTGTCTGCCAAAGACTCCTCCATATCTGGGCATGGTGGGCAGCACCTGTCGTCCTAGCCCTCGAGAGGCTGAGGCAGGAGGATCACAGGTTCAAAGGTGAAGTAGGGCTGCGTAGAGAGACCCTGCCTCCGTCTTAAAATTTTAAAAATAAATAACATTTAAAAACAGGAGGAGGAAAGGGAGGGGGAGGAGGAAGGAGATGAGTGGATCAACATCAGCTGATAGGCTCAGTCCTGAGTCTCATGACATTTAATCCAGAAACAGGTTCTGCAGAGGGGTGGGGGTAGGCAGGCAAGCTGCCTACCTACCCCCACCCCTACCCAGATAAGAAGAAATCCCAGCCCCAGGGTCTGAACAACCTGGATCACACCTAGCCTGCAGGCTAGCCACTTGGGGCCCTTGTCCCGACAGCTAATAAATGTCTATACTGTTCTGGGCAAGTCTGGCCAGTGTTCCGATCTTTGCAGCCAAAAGCTGGGAACAGAGGCCGCGCTCCACGGTGGCCATCTTTGAACACCTGCCCTTAGGGACTTGCTTGTGAAGAGCCCCTTCCTATGAGGGCAGCCTGATGGCGGTTCGTTAGCTCAGGGGTGTCACAGACAGCAAGCAGATGACAAGGAAGGGGTTGTGAACTCAATGGCCTGATGCATAGTGGTCTACTGCGTAGACCATTAGACACATTTGTCCATTCTGCCCATGTGGTGGCACATGCCTTGAATAATTCCAGCACTCGGGAGGCGGAGGCAGGCGGATCTCTGTGAGTTCCAGTTACCCTGGGTCTACAGAGCGAGTTCCAGGACAGCCAGGGCTACACAGAGAAACCCTGTCTCAAAAAACCAAAATAAATAAACATAAAGGCACTCTCACAGAGCCCAGGCTGTGTAGCTAAGGATGACCTTGAACTCCTGATGCTCCTGCCTCCAGCTCCTGGGTGCTGAGGTGGCACAGTCGCCTTGCTAGGGCTGGAGCCCAGGGCTTCCTGCGCACCCCATCCACTCAGGTCTGCCGCACGCCCACAGACATAATCCTAACACTGCAGTTTATTCTAAATTCTGGGAAGGCGTCAGACAAGGGCCTTCCTGAGCTAAAGTACAAGTGGGGTGGCCTGGGCCATTGTCAGCGGCCCCTGTGTCCCCTGTCTCTGTCTGTCTGTCTCTCCCCATCCTACCTTGTTCTTAGACTCTGGTATCCCTGGACCATGGATGACCCAGGATGGTCCTGAAGGTCCCGCGACCCCGGAGGACAGCTCTGGACACCTGGACTCAGGTCGTCACAGAACACACTGACACTGGACACCTAGTGGGGTACACCTGACATTAGGACAAGCCACCTTCTGAAGACAGCCGCAGCGGACCACAGGGGAAGGCACGGGACGCATGGGGGACGCATGGGGCGGGTGGCCCAACTCTCCTGGGGGAGTGTCTCCGTGATGTGAGAGCTGACTTCCAACAATAGCCCGATCTAGTGATCCCTGAGCATTCCTTCATGCCCTCACCTTCCTTTTAAAGAGCTTTTGCGGGCGGTGGTGGCACACGCCTTTAATCCCAGCACTCGGGAGGCAGAGCCAGGAGGATCTCTGTGAGTTCGAGGCCAGCCTGGACTACAAAGTGAGTTCCAGGAAAGGCACAACACTACACAGAGAAACCCTGTCTGGAAAACCAAAACAAAAAATAAATTAAAAAAAAAAATAAAGAGCTTTTGCTGCTGTTTCTTCTTTTAGGGTGCGCTCCACCCTGACCACGCCCCAGCCCCTCACTGGGGATTCTAGGCGGGGCTCCACCCTGACCACGCCCCCTCACTGGGGGATTCTGGGCGGGGCTCCACCCTGACCACGCCCCCAGCCCCTCACCGGGGATTCTAGGCGGGGCTCCACCCTGACCACGCCCCCAGCCCCTCACTGGGGGATTCTAGGCGGGGCTCCACCTGACCACGCCCCCAGCCCCTCACTGGGGGATTCTAGGCGGGGCTGCACCCGACCACGCCCCCAGCCCCTCACTGGGGATTCTAGGCGGGGCTCCACCTGACCACGCCCCCAGCCCCTCTCTGGGGATTCTAGGCGGGGCTCCACCCTGACCACGCCCCCAGACCCTCACTGGGGATTCTAGGCGGGGCTCCACCTGACCACGCCCCCAGCTCCTCACTAGGGGGTCCAGGCAGCACTCCATCCCTAGCTACACCATTTATCATTGCAGTAATCCCCCTGCTCATTTTTGAGGCAAGTGTCTATGTGTCCCTGGCTGGCATTGGGTTCTGAGCAATCCTATCACTTTCTCCTTCCAGGTGGCAGGATTTCAGGACGGGCCGACGGGCCACACATCAGGCTTCAGTGACAACCTCCTTAAAGGGCTTTTGTTAAATTGTAGTGTCTTCTCGTCTGTCTTGTAATCAGGCCTATCCCTGGCCTCTAGAGGGCGCCCTACACCATCATGCTCTCTGCTTTCCTGTTTTTGGTTTGGTTTGGTTTAGGTTTTTTTTTTTTTTTGAGACAGGGTTTCTCTGCATAGCTTTGGAGCCTGTCCTGGATCTCGCTCTGTAGATCAGGCTGGCCTCGAACTCACAGAGATCCACCTGCCTCTGCCTCTCAATGCTGGGATTAAAGGCGTGCACCAACACCGCCCGATCTATTTTTGCTTTTTTATAAATAAACTTTATAGCCGGGCGGTGTTGGCGCACGCTTTAATCCCAGCACTCGGGAGGCAGAGGCAGGTGGATCTCTGTGAGTTCTAGGCCAATCTGATCTACAGAGTGAGACCATATCTCAAAATATATATTAAAACCAGCACACAAACCCAGTCAGAGTGAACAATGTGCTAGCCCAAATACGTTGGTTTGCTAGTGGATTATTTTGACCTGAAGGCTTTGGACTCCAGACACGGCTGCTGTGGGTGAAGGCGGGCCTTGGGGACAGTCAGCTGTGCTGTGATGAACAGGCTAATCATGAATTCCGAGACAAGCCAGGCCCCACGCAAACACGGGACTCCGAGTCTCCCACCCTCGGGCTGCACTCATTCTGTAGACGATTCTCTCCCCACAAGCAGCCTCTGTCTCCAGCCCTGTTACCAACTAATACGGAATCTCAACCCTCCGTTTCAGTCACCCCTTTGGCAGTTCCTCCTTCTGCTTTGCCCCCGTGTGCAAATTTAAAAGTAAAAACTCCACTGTTAGAGTTCAGGCAGCTCTGTCGCAGTGCTCAGAGAGGAAGCGTTAGCCTAACATACGGGGAGTCCCATCCCGTCTCCATCAAATAGACCAGGCATGCGGGGGACCCCTGGCATCTCAGTACTCGCAAGTTGGAGGCAGAAGAATCAGTTAAAAGTAAACCTCAGCTGCAGAGCAAACTTGAGGCCAGCCTGGGCTACATTAGACTCTGTCTAAAAAGCAATAATAATGAAGAGAGGCTGGCCCGACGCCCCGGTGGTTAGTGCACAGCTGCTGTGCCACAGGACCTGGGTCACTTCCCAGCATCGTCTGTAACTCCAGTTCCAGGGGACCCCACATCTTCCCTGGACGCCTCTGGATCAGCCATGGTTGTCGTTCACAGACATAGTGCAGGGCAAAGGTCCAAGACCGTGAAATTAGGGAGTAAAAACCAGTGGTTTTAAAAACACTAACGTGAAGACGTAAATGAAGACTTGGGCATGTGGCTCAGAGGTAGAGTCTTTGTCAGACATGGACTCTGGATTTGGAGTCTAACAAAAATTCACAAAAGAAACAAAGTATGTGTTTCCCTGTCTGTTGCTGGCTTAACTCACAGGACCCCAAGAATTGGACTTAAGATGGAAAAGGAATTTTTTTTTTTCCGAGCCAGGCATGGTGATGCATATCTGTAACCTTAGCACTCTGGAGGCTGAGGCAGGAGCATGGCAAGTTTGAGACCGATCTCCCCTGAGGAATGCAAGCTGAAAGACTCTGAAGGAGCCACTGGCCCTCCATTCCAAGAGCTTCATTTCCTTTTTACGGTTCCGTTCCCCACAACTCCTACAGGGCACCATTCATGCCCTGTGAACACTGGGTTGGGTCTGGGCCCGGGCCGTCAGGTGATCAATATTATTGCTGGTCTCCACCCACTGCATGCCAGGAAACTGCCCAGTTGGATAAGCCACTCATGCCTCCCAGACATTGGAATATTCCAGAACATTCCAGAAGCACCACCAAGGCTGTCAGGACTCCTTTCAATGAGACAAGTGTTGGTACTTGAATAAAAAAGAATAGAGATGTCTCTTCCTGACCCAGCAAGCCTCCCTGTCATCTCACCAGGGGAGAGGGGGATGTCGACCCTAGAAATGTCTTTATAGGATTGAGATTCTTGTTTTCTTTTAAAAAGATCTACTGGAGATAGTTTCTCTGTGCAGCCCCGGCTGTCCTGGATCTCACTCTGTAGCCCAGGCTGGCCTTCAACTCAGAGATCTGCTGCCTCTGCCTCCCGAGTACTGGGATTAAAGGTGTGTGCCACCACCGCCCAACTAAAAAGATTTATCTTTAATGTGTGTGTGTGTGCACACGCGCGTGTGTGTGTGTGTGTGCGCGCGTGTGCATGTGTGTGTGCGCGCGCGTGCATGTGTGTGTGTGCGCGTGCGTGCGTGCATGTGTGCGTGTGTGTGCGTGTGTGCGCGCGCGCGCGCGTGTGTGTGTGTGTGTGTGTGTGTGTGCGTGCGTGCGTGCATGTGTGCGTGTGTGCGCGCGCAGGCACGTGAAATGTCACCGATGTGAGAGTGAAACAAAAGGACGATGTGTGTGAGTCCCTCCTCTCCACCATGTGGAGTCTAAGACTTGAACTTGGGATGTGAACATTGCTGCAAGCTCCTTTTCCCACAGAGCCATCTTGCTGGCCCCCCTCCACTGATTTATTTATTTACTTTTAAAGATTTATTATGTATGTGTGTATGTCAGGGTGCCTGAGGGGTCCCTGGAGATGGGGTGATAGGCCTTCGTGAGCTGCCCGCTGTGGGTGTTGGGAAGCAGGTCTCAGTGCCCTGGAAGACTGCCCCTAACGGCTTAGCCTTCCCTCCTGCCCCCTCCCACCTTAGTTTTTGAGGCAAAGTCTCTCAGGGAACCTGGCGACCACCATCTGGCAGCTAATTAACTCTTCTTAGTTTTTAGTTTGAAACAGGGTCTCAATAAGTTGCCCAGGCTAGACTTAAACTCCCTCTGTAGCTCAGGCTGGCCTCAGACTCAAATCTTTCCTGCTTCACCTAAGTAGGTGATATAATGAACCTGTGCCGCCGGGCGGTGTGGGTGGCCGGCCGCTTTTCTGTCTCTGCAGAGGAAACAGAAGAGAGATTTGTTGACTACACCAGGACCAAGGCTATGAGGATTCTGTGTCCCGTTTCTGTCCAGTGTGGGGCGGGTTTATCCAGAGGACCTGGGTTTGATTCCCAGCACGCACGTGGCCGCTCACAGCTGTCTCAGGGGATCTGGCGCCCTCTTCTGGCCGCTTTGAGCACTGCACACAGACAAACACAGGGAAAACATCTATACATAAAGTTTTTAAAATAAATAAATTCACAAAAGTCAGGCATGGCGGCTCACCCCTTGATTCCCAGCACTTAGCAGACAGGGGCAGGTGGTTCTATGTGAGTTCCAAGACAGCCAGGACTGAACAGAAAGACCAGGCAGAGGTGGCACAGGTCTTAAATCCCAGCACTCGGGAGGCAGAGGCAGGCGGATCTCTGTGAGTTCGAGGCCAGCCTGGGCTACCAAGTGAGTTCCAGGAGAGGCGCAAAGCTACACAGAGAAACCCTGTCTTGAAAAACCAAAAAAAAAAAAAAAAAAGGTAAAATAAACAAACCAGATATGGTAGCTGGATGTGGTGCTGTTAGCTGTCCTCTCAGCACCTGGGAGACGTACGCAGGAAGATGGCAGGTTTGAGATCACACTTGGGTAAGAAAGACCCTTTCTCAAGAGCAAAGGGAGGGTGACCGAGAGGCCTCGGGCAGAGCAAAGCTCACCCTGCAAACGTAAGGACCTGAGTTGTACCCCCGAACCCCATGTGAAATTCGGGGTGCAGTGGAATGTGCGCTCAGTCCCAGCACTGGGGAGGCAGAGACAGGAGGATCCTAGGTAATCTGTGAGCTCCAGGTTCAGTGAGAAACCCTGCCTCAAAAAAATGAGGTGTTGTGAGACACCTACTGCCAGCCTCTGGGCTTCACATGCATGTATGTGACCATTCACACACACACACACACACACACACACACACACAACTGCCAACCTGTGGCCTTCCCAAGCATGTATGTGACCATTCACACACACACACACACACACACACACACACACACACACACACACACAAAACTGCCAGCCTCAAAAAGGTAGATTGCATCACATAAACACTGAAACAGAATTTAAAGTCTGCATACACAGTAAGTGCTCAAAAAATAAAATTTAGCAGGGTGATGGTGGCGCACACCTTTAATCCCAGCACTCAGGAGGCAGAGGCAGGTGGATCTTTGGGAGTTCGAGGCCAGCCTGGGCTACAGAGTGAGATCCAGGACAGCCAGAGCTACACAGAGAAACCCTGTCTCGAAAAACCAAAAAAAAAAAACAAACAAACAAAAAAAACAGAGATAAATTAAAATTTATTTTATGTGTGTGGGTGTTTTCCTGTGTATATGTCTGTGC